ATTGGAAGGTTTGTCGAGTAGTGCGTTCATGAAATTTGGAAGCTGGGATTAATGCGAACAATTCCTCAGAGCACTCCCTGTGGTATGTGCAAAATAAAATGCAAAGAGATGCAACATCTCTTCGCAGCGCCAGTGAATCGAGCCGATCGGAAAACAGTCCGTCGTCGACGATTCGAGCTATTTCCATTCAAGTGGAAGGATCTGGGAGCCCAAACCAAACCTGCGTCTTATGAAGTTGCAGGCGGTGTGCCGGCATGATATACTGTCCCGCTCTGCTGAGCACGCCAAGCTTTTAAGAGGCCAATTGGGCCTTCTCTTCCAAGTGACCACGGAACCGCATGTCCGCATGACTAGATTTAGTCGCCCCCAATCCAAGACTTTGTTCAACAAAGATTCGACTTCAGACACAAGTTTGTCCCGGCACTCGGAGATGTTTTCCCGAGAAATATTCGCACCGCCGCTGTACAGAGCATCACCAGTGCTATCCTCTGACTCAGCTAATTAAAAAAGGGAAAGGCAATGAACGTGAGGATGATTATGAAATGGTTTATGGTTTGGTATTGTTACCAATCAACATGTCGCGTTTTTAGGCGTTATTGAGCTATCTAACCGCTGTTAGATTAAACGTTGCCATTTAAAATAAGCTTTTTCCATCTTCGCCTTCTTATCTATTATCCGATTCTTTCTACTTTTACGACGGTGCCGCTTTACGTTACTTTAGATCAACCGTACCTTTGGGATCCCGATGGGCTACATCAAAACGTGACTACTTTAGTCTATCTTTCTTTGTGCATCCTTGAAATATAGCTAGCCTAACTCCAATTTAGCCTAAGTGCCTACTGTATATTCTCGTAGTCAGTTACATTCGTTCTGCTCATAATGTCAATATTTCTCACCTTGTCATACCGTGTTATATTTAAAATACTTGTCTCAATGTCTCTATGCCTTGTAAACCATATGATGCAAATATTTTACACTAACTTAACGCTAGTATTCTGTGAGAGTGTGCTCTTTCCAGTAAAGTCGTAAAGTATAAGAGAAACCGTCACATTTGCCCCGTTTAATCCCGTGGGTATAGTAATATACGACTATGGTAAAAGATGTCATGACTTCCGATAGATGGCACTATAACCATTCCATTTATGACCTGGCATACTATAGAAAAGATATAGGTGTATAATATATATGTATAAAATAGTTAAGAGAATGATAAGACTGGCATTACCGTTATAGTCACAAGTCCAATAAAACTAGGATTAAAACACCTTTGGAGCCTGACGTGAAACGCTCAGACCGGAGACGAGGAGCAGTATCAAAAGTGCGATATAATTGGCCAAACACCGCAAAATTCTTCTGAGCTGTAGTGGGACGCAAAAAAATTTTCCTGAAGTTTTGCCAAGAAACAGAAACTATCACTGGTGAATTCTACGGCAACGTTACTTTGCTGTTGTTACCGCAAAGCTATTGCTATTCAGAAAATAACGGCTGACCTTACTCTTAGGTTCACCATCTACTTATTTTACTTTTTTACCAATGAACCATAATAAGCTAATAACACACAATGACAATGACTTCCTTGTTAACAGTTGGGAAACTTCCCTGAGATGCATTACAATAAAGGTAATCTATATTAATCCTATCTTAAAACTACACTGTTTAATTTTATTACGTTTTTATTAACTCACTTTCTTGCCTGTTTGGTAACAATTTTGCAATAGATTTTAATATTACTTCTTGAACTAGAAAGTATGAAAATTAAAATCTCAGAGTTGGATGATAACGAAATTTTAGCTCACTTTCTTGTCTATCTGTTTGTGTGCTTTTGTTCAATACAAATTTTGTTATTGATTTTAAACAAAACGTCCCGCTGAGTTAGAGATTTGAAATTTTAAATATAGTTCAGGACTAGAAACGTGTTAAAAATGATTGTAATTTGAATTATAATTATTTTCATCCTTATTATAAGAATTATGCTTAAAGTTGTGTATCATTATTTCATGAAACTCTTCTCAAACGAATTTCTTTGTAGAGAAAAATTTACACAAAAATTAATAACATGACATAATTTTCTCACGTTGGTGTTTCGACTATTTTTAGCTTCTGAAATTCTTATTATCAATGGGTATGTATTGCAAAGACGTTAAATCGACATGGTTTTGGAATAAGCGATTGCGATCATGAGTGTTATGTAAACATAAAAAATACATGTTGAATAAAACCACTTTTACGGATTTTGTCGCGTTTAATACTTAATATTTTTAAATACCCGATGATTTGAGTGCTTTGCAGCACCTTTGGTAATGTGAGTCTAAAGTGATTGACCTTCCGATATCAAAGTTCACCCGGAGTACTTTCAGCTTTATATTTATTACTTTTGGTTTGATCTACACAGAATATGCTTACTGTGTCTTGAAGTTTTGCAGTGGTATGTTTGGGCTTAGTTTTAATTTTATTAACTACAGGATCCCAAGCAGTTGATCGTGAAACGTCGGGAATTTAAAAATAAATAAGTAGTATTAAACGCGATAAAATCCCCCAAAATATTTTCATTAGATGTGTAATATTCACGTATGTATAAGAAATCATTATAATAAATATATTTTAAGTGTAAAATGCCTTTTATACAAATTGTCAAATTATCACTTTTCAAGTGACACAAAAGCCATGCTTTTGCTTATGCTTCTATTTTCTATTTTAACAGCCCGAATAAGTTTACTACTCATGACGAACACATATGTAGCTGAACAGTTAGTCAGTTGTAACTATTAACATCAATGTTCGTTGCAACTGATTTTAAGTGAATGTGTGTGAGTGTGCATACTTACGATAAGTCGAGTATGACTTGATTTTGTCATTTAAAATTTTCGGAGCGCTGACTCTCTTTCTTTGTTGATCATTTTAGTAATAGTAATATACAGTTCCTATATATTTAAGGATACTGTTCTCGTATCTAAGCTGGGGCTCCCCAGTGTTAGCTCATTCCACTTGACTGCATACAGCACAGAGCAGCTCGAATCGTCGTTGACCGAGTCCTCCCCGATCGGCTCGATTTACTAATTACGAATCGACGAATAGATTTTTTTTTCCTATTTACCACGGGGAGTGCTCTGATAAATTATTCGGATTAATTCCAGCCGCCAAATTTCACGAACATACATTGCGGCAAAACTCCAGATATCATCCACACCTTCTGGATGCTTGGCGGTCCACCACTGTACGTTTTACTAGGAGTTTTCTTTAACGTACGACCTCTCTGTGGAATAGTTTACCACCAGATATTTTTCAACTTAGGAAACTTCAAGAAAAGAGCTTACTCGTTTCTAAAAGGCTGGCAACGCACCTGTAATTCCCCCGGTGTTGCATATGTTCATGGGTAGCGGTAGTCACTTACCAACATACGAGCCAAATACTCGTTTGCCCCCTCTCCTATAAAAAACTGTTTAATAAAATAGGTGAGGTAAAAAAAAACTCAACATTTGAGAAGTATAAGTTATAATAAAAGTTAATAAAGGTAAATTACAGCATAATATCTTAAATAAATTAGCACAGTGTTTGAAATAGTATATACGTATTTTAGTGAGCATTATTATGTTTCAGATTAATTCATAGATCGTGAGATTTTATTTGGAGTTAATAAAATGTCAATGAGTTTACTACTACTATTCATTGTGGGAATATACCTCAATTCTTCCCCTTAATTAAGGTATTTCCCATGAATCGACAATGAAGATGATATTTTCCCTCACATTCATTCAAAAGTCAGTGATTATAAATAAATGAATAAAACAATTTTTAATAAGAACATCCATCTCGTATTAATAAACGACAAACTTTTGTGCGTATTGCAAATTTGTTTGGTCTAAGCTTCCTAAGTGCAGTGAAGCCTTATCTAAAATGTGTAAATTTCCCCGATTTACACATTCTACAAGTAATGTAGAAATATGGTAAATACTACACCTAAAATCCAAAATATACTCTTATTCTATATTTACGAATCTACTTTTGTGGAAAAGATCTAAGGGCCTAAGTCCTACTTACAAAGCTTTAAATAATAAAGCTTTTATATGAAATACTTTCTTATATTATCTAATGCAGCAGAAAAACTTTTTATTTCAGATTTTATCATATCCGCTTTAATTCAAAATTTAGATCACTCCCGCCATAGGAAATGGTCCCTGTAAGTAAACTAATAATATTTAGGTTCACCATCTTAGACACATTTTCAATCTTCTACATTACAGGATTTATTAGGCAGGAAATTAAAAAAAAACAACTAGCATTAATTTAATAATAAGAACATAAAAAACTTTTTGTTGAAGTTATACAAAGGTTTGCACTATTATTTTTATTATATATATGAACTATTGTACTACTGAGTTGCCAAAAGCTTTATTCTATTGCTAAATAAGCTAAATATTTAACTCTATTCTCGAACTTCTATGAATAACATTGAATTTGTGGTCTACACTTACGATTAAAATGTGACTCAATTTGTATAATTGTGAATTTGTGTCTATTATATAATCTGTATCCATATTTTATAATATAATTATATCATTAATTTAAGAAAGAAAAACATCACGCATTCTTACTTAGAGGCACTTCAACAGTGGCTGATATTGTAGCATTATATTATAATAGTGCACAAAATTATTGCTTTAGAAGTAGCAAAAGGTCTTGTTTTAAGTATCTAAGCTTTTTTTTAATAATACGATAATTAATATAATATAAACTTTGGACTAAATTCTTAACCTCGTACGTCAATAATACGGACCCGGTATAATTCTTATTTCCTTGTACTCTCAAAGCTTAATATTTCAATATAATAACTACCTCAGTTAACTCTTATTTATTTAATCCAATTTAAGTATATCTTTTTTTTTAAATTTCGTTTATCAACTTCGGTATTAATTTGTATTTTATTTACGTATCAGGAGCCCGAATTTCTACGGTGACTGATGTTGGTCCGGTAGCAGTAGGTGAACGAAGAGTCGCCGATCTTAAGGATGTGGCTGAATGCCCACTACTTGTCCGAGACCCACGCCTTGATCCTGCAATCAGAATATAAACAAAATCAGAAGTGCTCTTTTTTCTATTAAAGCTAAGATTAAAGCATGCTTTAATTTATGTTTATAGAAATACCATGCTTTTTAAAAGCTGCGTCGATATGTTCAAACTTCAACCGTTATCTATCTACAAGCATTTTCAAATAACGTCTAAATTTCTATATGATCTCCAAAAATTTAATTGTTTTTAATTTAAGCCTAAAATCAAGCTTTATTTTAATGAAACTCATTTTTATCAAACAATACTTCCAGAGTATTTAAATAAGGATGTAAATGAACAGAATAATACTAAGTTCTTCAGTATTGTCTCATGAACCATGCGAAAGTTTAACATTAAACTATGAACAGATTATTTCACAACAAACAATTTTTTGTCTCTTATCTAAAAGTTATCGTAAAAGAAGTCCAACTTTTTAAAATTATATAATTATAAAAACAATCCAAATCTAGTTCTTATTCTATATTTTAAAAGGGTATATATCAGGTATAATATATCAATAAAATGATACTGCAAAATATATTAATTATGTTGATCTAAAAAAGACGTAAGGTTTTTACTACCATTAAAAACAATACTATAATATCTAAATTTTGTTATCAATTGTAATCGCGTCCTAACTTATTTCGACAATGTGGGGTAGATGAGGCAAAATGAAATATTAAATAACCTGAGGACTTTCGGTGTAGCTGATGGCTTTGATGATGGCGTGCTGTAGGTAGATGAAATCATGTATACATTTTAATAACAGTACAAATTGATGGAATAATATAATATAAAACATTGAACAAGAGCGGTAATCGGGAACTGAAGAATGAATAAGTTATTTTATATGCATTGATAAGCATTATACGCCGTAGTAATAAAAATATTTATAAATAAGGTATAAATTTTTACGTAAAGTTTTATTCATATTTATTTTTAAAATAAAGAGGGGGAGTGATTTAAATATTATTATTAATGAAGCCATGAGCTTAATTAAAATATGTTGTGGATGATATAGTTCAAGGTTACTTTGCTGATATACCTGGACTAGGCGAATGAGGTCTTAGTTCCTGCTGACTAGCTTGTCTCGAGGGCGGACGCATGCTTAAACGCGAACCACGACGATCCTAAAAATTGAATTAATGTAATAAATTAAATTAAAACCTTTGTTCAAATATATTATAATTTAGGCTATATCCAAAAAAAAAGGACGCAGTGAAAGAATTTTATCAAGTATCAGAGAACATTTTTCACAGTCAGATATCATTCCTGTCATTAGGACTGGCTGTTCCCATACCAGAAGACCGACCACGTTGGGAGAGAGGTGTGGAATTTTGCTTTGTCGCTGGGACTCTCCCAACTGGCACAAAAAGCAACTAGAGTACCTGATGTGGATGGACACATAGCCAACTGCCTTGACCTTTGCTTATGACCGATCCATACAGGTACAACGTTAAGGTTACCTCACTCTTGGGGACTTCTGACCACTATCTGGTGAAATCTGAGTCGTTATATTCCTAACTACTATTTCCACGGTGTGCGGCGAGTGTGGCGATACAAGTCAGTAGACGGGGATGAGGTGCGGCATTTCTTTGCATCTTATCCTTAACGACATGTTTACGTATCGTCTGAAGATCCATCAAGCTGCGCGGATACCACAACCGATGTGATACGTCAAGCGATGGAGTATTTCATTTCCCTTGGTGACGTGCCCATTGATGGTAAAACCCGTCCATTGTTCAACACCGAATGCACTCGTGCGGAAAAACACAAGCGCATGGCGTACTTATCCTGGGTCAATGCTCGAGACCGCAAAGCTTCGGATGTTAGCCTTAAGAAAAGAGCCTTTAACCAACTTGCCAAGTCTTGCAAAAAGGTATTACCGCAAGCCAGTTTCGACCGTATTAAAAGCATTCGTTCAAAGTTCTCTTTCAAACCATAATATGGTAGTAGAGCTTTTTGGTCTCTCGCGAAAGCGATTAAGACAAGATGCCTCCGCTGGTAAAACGAGATGGCTAACTGGCGCATGCTCGTAAGGAGAAAGCTGATTTATTTGCTTCTTTTTTTGCTCGCTATTCACGTCTGAATATTATTAACAGCGTAATAATGGGTCCGCCATCTAACTTTTTTTCAACTAGTGTTTATTTCGTGAATGGCAACACTTAGCTCATGTCTAATTTGACAGATAATTAGTTTTATCCTTCCGCTGAACGAATATGGTTGTGTATACGCTTGAACAACGCTGGGAAATATTGCGACATTACTTTGAAAATCATGGTAATGATTAAAATTACTTTTACGGATTTTATCGCGTTTTATTTATATTAATTTTAATACCCGACGTTTCGGGTGCTTTCCAGCACCCATGGTCACGGGGGACTGAGGTAACTGACGTCCCGATGTCAAAGTTAAGTATTAACTTTTTAATACTTAAGTCCCGATGTCAAAGTTGAGCACTTGACGTCACGGACGTCAGTCACCTCAGTCCCCCGTAACCATGGGTGCGAAACGTCGGGTATTAAAATTAATATAAATTAAAACGCGATAAAATCCGTAAAAGTAGTTTTTAATCAATGTATAGTGTTCGCGTAAATATAAGAAATCATAATCATGGTAATGTTGCAGAATGTGTGCGAAAATTGCGTACGGATTTTGGAAGAAATGAAGCACCGTCAGCTCCGTATGTTCGTGTAAAAAAGTGAAAGAAACTGGCATCCTCATCGATAAACCAACGCGTGAAAAGCCAAAAACAGTGCGTACACCCGAGATATTGCTGCTGTGTCCGAAAGTGTGCGTGAAACGCCATCAACATCAGTTCACCGTCGTTCTCAACAATTGGACATTTCGGAGACATCATTGAGACGAATTTTGCGTAAAGACCTTGGTATGACGCCGTACAAAATCCAATTGGTTCAGGAGTTGAAGCCAATTGACCATCCAATGCGTTTTCGCTTCGCTAAGTAGGCCTGCGATCGACTTGCAGAAGATGCGGATTTTGCCAAAAAAATCGTCTTTTCAGATGAAGCTCATTTCGAACTTGGCGGGTATGTAAACAAGCAGAATTGTCGCATTTGGGGCACAGAAAACCCGCACGCGTTCATCGAAAAGCCGGTGCACCCAAAACGAGTCACTGTTTGGTGCGGATTTTGGTCCAGAGGCATAATTGGGCCATTGTTCTTCGAAAATGAGCAAGGTGTGGCCGTTACAGTCAATGGCGATCGTTATCGGGCCATGTTGAACGAATTTTTGTTCACAGAAATTGAAGAGGAGGATATTGGCAACATTTGGTTTCAACAGGACGGCGCAACGTGCCACACAGCCGACGCTACACTTGATGTTGTGCGCCCTGTTTTTGAAAATCGCATTATCAGCCGCAGAGCTGATGTCGTTTGGCCACCTCGGAGCTGCGATTTGACACCGTTGGACTATTATTTGTGGGGTGCCGTCAAAGATAAGTGTTACGCCGACAAGCCAGAGACAATTGACGCTTTAAAGGACAATATTCGTGAAGCCATTGTTGAAATACAGCTGCACACAATCGATAATGTACTCAAAAATTGGACCGATCGTGTAGGCTACTGCATGGCCAGCCGAGGCAGCCATTTGAATGAAATTATTTTCCTTCATTAACCGGAAGGATTGTACATTCAAATAAAAAAAGAAATTTGAAAAAAATATTCAGTAGTTTTATTTTTAATAGCATTTTTTTTTAAAAAAGTTATTTGGCGGACCCTTTATCTCAATTACCTCACTGCGGTACCTCTATGTTGGAGGTCCGTATCATCAACAAGGAGGTTCTTAAAACCTTGCGAAGTCTAGACATGAACAAAGCTAGTGGACCTGATGGTATATCAGCTATAGTTCTAAAGGTATATGCACATGAGTTGTCTCCTGTGTTGACGCGCTTGTTCAACCTCTCAATCAGGACTGGAATAGTGCTCAAATCTTGGAAGCTTGCCAATGTGCAGTCTGTGCCTAAAATAAGTAGCCGTGCCGACCTCGCTAACTATCGGCTAAATGTAATTACTCTGCAAGATTATGAAGCGTATAATGGCATATCTAGAACAAAATGACTTCCTTAGTGACCCGAAATACGGGTTTCACCGATATCGGTCAGCTGGGGACCCTTCCAGCCTATGCCACACACGTATGGGGCGAGGCACTCGAGAACAGTGGGGAAGCACTTCCTGTTTCACTTGATGTCTCGAAGGCCTTTGATGGAGTCAAACTCCGTCAAAGCCTTTTGGATAAGCTTACATCGTATGGCTTATCCCCTGGTCTGTTTGAATTGGTGAAGGACTTTCAGAGTGAATGATCTCTACGCGTCGTCGTCGATTTGCCCATACGATCCTGTAGCGACTGACGCTGATGTTTTTAAAGGGTACGTTCTCTCCACAAATCTTCCTGCTGCATATTAATTATCTCCTTATGCCCGATATCTATGGGTATACAGACATAGCACAGATGTAGAGGCAGTCGGGATCAAATCCAGTTTGATAGAGAGGCTCTGGTTGAGCGTGTGAATCTCACACTATAGGCAGTCTCTGAATGGGACGATCCCAATCTCGTGAGATTTAACGCCTTCAAAACACAAGCGTATCTTTTCTCCGCTAATAGGAGTCCGCTCACCATTGCTACTGCTTTCCGGAATGTATCTTTGGAGTACACTGACTGCCTTCAGATGTTTAGGGTTGAATTTTTTCCAACCTCAACTATGGGTGGTTTATTGATTTCAGAGAAAAAGCAACCGCAAGGAAACTTGGTGTTCTTTCAAGGGTGCGGCAGTACTTCACGCCGGAGCAGCTTCTTACCTTATATAAAGCGCAAGTCCGATCTTGCATGGAGTAGTGCATTCACATATGGGCTGGTGCTGCAAAATGCTATATAGCAGCATTAGACTGAGTGAAGAGACGTGCTGAGAGGTTCATTGGTGACCTTGATTTGGTTGAAACCAACTTTTTTCTCTCTCGGTATTCTATATAATGCATTTCGGTGAGTGTGCGCAGGAATTGCACGCTTTTATTCATCTCTCTCCTTTCCACCATCGGACGGCGAGGCGGTCGGCGAGTTTTCACACCTTTGCTGTCAATATTCCACGCATTGAAACCAAACGGTTTTCTTCGACATTTAAATGCGTATAAAAAAGGAGTGGAATAATTTGCTGGCGTCTATCTTTCCGTCCGAATACAATCTGAGTTGTTTGTCAACAAGGCAAGAGTGAATAGGCTTTTGTTACGCTACGACACTGCGATTTACCATTTAAGGCTTTTCACTCACCATTTACCACCTGGTGGAACTATAGTAAATCCCTGGCTTATAATAAGTAAAAAAACATAATGACGGACAACAAGGTGATTCCAATTTTCACATGGAACAATAAGGATGTTGGTTAATTGAAGTATATGAGAGCAAAGCCGTGGAAAAAGCGAGTATTTAACATAATGGAGATAGAGTATATAAGGGGAAGGATAGGTGAGTATACTTATGCTTATTTTATAATTACCCTATACTATAAAATAGTTAAAGCGATAGCTTGTTTAGTTTATACGATAGCCTTATCCATAGACTTCCAGTATATCTTATTAGGTTTTAACTCACCAAATAGGATAATTCTAACTTATCACACCAAAACTTTCGTTTACTGCTAAGAGGCTGCCACTTGAGAACTTTCTCTTCTTCGCCATTGATTGTCGGTTCTCCAAGCTACATGTCCGGTCTATACCTACTTCAACTTAATGATCCGCTTAGCTTTGTCGGAAACTCTGGTTCTATTACGTAATACACTCATCACGAAGTTTATTACGCAGAGAAACTCATCGCATAAACTAATAAGCGACTTTAAGCTTCCTCATTAGGTCAGAAGTGAAGAACCATGTCTCAGTTCATCACTAGTAATACACACTGCTTTTTTTATACTACCGCCGGCCATGATTAACTGCAACACTAAGGGAAGTGCAAATGAGTTGCTGGCCATTTGAAAAGAGTAGGTTCTATTCTTGAAGGTCCTATTAGTCCGGAAAAATTGCTGGTGGTAGTCAATTTCACAAGAAAGTTATTCGAAGAAGAAAACTTCTTCTCAATCGCACAGTGGTGGACCACCAATCATCCAGATGATATAGATGGTATCGCGAGTTATGACGCAATGTGCCATGGTGAAATTGAGCAGTTGAAATTAGTCCGAATAATTCCTCAGAGCACTTTCCGTAGTAGATGTTATAAAATGATGCAACATTTCTCCTCAAGCCGATCAGAAAGAATTCAGTCACCGCCGATTTCGATCAAATTGAAGGAGCACTGAAGAGTTCCATTCCATAGATGGGAATGACCCTCCACCTCCCATGGCCCCAACAACCTAGCGGTTATACGGGCCGAATTTCGAGAGATGCACGTGGTACTTGCATTGGGCTCTTTCCCGCAGGCACTTTCTTGAACCTCTGCAAGTGATTCAACTTCTTGTCCCATTTTTCCGCTCTCCTTTTCTGTGCTAGACATACAAAGCACGCCTTCGGTTCTGGGCTGGTCTTTGCTTCGGTTCCGGGCACTCTTTCAAGTGTGCAATCCGTGCGCCCAAAAGGCCAAAGTTCTACTGACGTCCATGAATTCCGGGTAGTAAACCAGGCCAATCTTTCCGCATACCATTCCATCCGTCATCTTACACCGCAGGTCATCATAAAGCACGCACTCTCACAGAACGTTTTGCTTATCCTCGTAAGCTGCTCCACGCTCAATCACATACGTGATTCAACCAATTTCAAATCGAACAGTCTCTTCCTGAAATATCCATGCCCACTGAGGATCTGTGAGACTTGTTAGTACGACCCAATTTGCATTCAGTCACTCTGCCACGTCCAGAAAAAAGCGGGATAATTCCCTGCCATTTGTCTCGTTCGTCAAACGTTCCTGCCATACATTTATAACTTCAGCCTAAATTTCGCGCTTACACCTGCTTAGCTCCCCATTTCTACGCACTTAGTCAATCTTTCCAAAACGCGTTACCTCCGGATCGGCCGAAAGGACACCGGCCAATACCGAGAGTGCCACAATACTTATCGTCCTGTAGCCCTTCGTGAACAACACGAGGGAGGATCTCTGCGATCTCAGCAGTGCCGTGCGCACCGTATGATTCTCCATCTGACCAATCCAAACGGATGCAGCATATGTCTCTATTAGAGCATACGCTCCCTTATAAAGAACACAGAGGGCTGGGTAGCGCATGCCCCAAGAAGACGCCGACATCCGTAACATCTAACAAGCATCTCCTAGCCCTCTCTCCCATATGCTTTTTGTGCAGACTCACGTTTAACGTGACACCCAGTACTTTAGTCAACATAATGCTTTTTACTAACTCCATCCCCATCCATATGACAGGTGGTAGCTGGAACTTGCCTTTAATAGTCATGGTACATGACTTTGCGGAGGAGAAGTATAGACGGCTCCTCTTTCCCCACGTGATACCAACTCCAGTGCAGATTTGGCCGCTCTCTCTATTTCAGCTCTAGAATTTGCCTGTATCAAAAGTGTCACGTCATAAGTCCCAGAGATGGATACAGTATTCCATGTGTGGCTGAACCTGCGTCCTGTAAAGTCGCAGGCGGTGTGTCGGCGTGAAATTCGGTTCCGCTCTGCTGAGCACGCCGAGGTTTTAAAAGCCAATATAGCGTTCTCTTCTAAGTAACTTCGAAACTGCATGTCACTCGATGTGTCGGCATCGAGTATTTCTGTCGAGGCACCAAGGTGAATGCACTAAAATTGAAGGGATACGACAAGTAGGTTCTTTTTAGCGGTAAACGCGCAAACGTATGTCTTCAAGGGATTTAACTGGACTAGATTTAGTTGCCCCCAGTCGGAGACTTTGTTCAACAATGTCTTGACTTCAGACAAAAGTTTGTTCCGGTAATCGGTGACGTTTTCCCAGGAATTGGCTCGGCCGGTTTTATAAAGTATCACCAATGTTATTGTCAGCATAGCATGAATTATATAGTTTTGTATCGTATTATTTATATGCAGAAGAAACAGTGTTAGTTGGTTATTATTTTCATGTTTTGAATAGTAGGTGAAAGGAGATGTTGTGTCGTAACCCAAACTCCCCAACTAAAACGCTGTTCAGCCAATTGACCTTTCGGTCGAAGTTGGATTATCGAAGTCGAACTATGTAAAACGGTTGAGGCTTGTTTCAGTTCAGAAAGAAGGAAAAGCATATGTTTCAATAATTTCAAGGATAATGCTCCCAAAAACTACAGGCATAGTTGTGAAATTGACGTAACACAACATTAGAATCTTTGTCTTGTCTGTTATCCTCTTAAGAACCATCCGTTGGAAAATACTATAGAGATCATTAAGTATAGTGCTAAGAAAATGACAGTTAATATCATCGAACGTTACAAGATTTAAAATTGAAAGGAGTGCAATGGTTAACAGTAACGCCTTAATATGTTATTACTTTACCTGGGAATGAATTAGTTTAGAATCACGTAGTAAGGAAACGTTCATCAGCCGGGGGTTGGGTGTGTTAAAAATTGTTCGGTTCTCCCTCCAACGAGCCCTGGAAATATATTAAATTTCTTAATTTTATGTGAAATTTATTAACTTCTGCTTATTTAAAATTAGTACAAAAAGAAAATGCATCAAAATTCTGGAATTTCTGAATCATGTAAATCATTATTGCAATTTAGAATTTAGACTGCAGTAAAGGAGGGTACATTGCCACGTTGGCCAACATGTAAAATAATATTTTCTTAATTACTATTTTTCATAGCTTCGTATATTAAAGATACTTGCCTGCTGAATAGCCTGAGAACGACGCAAATGATCACAAACATCAGAGCCATGCCCACCAAAACGCCAATCATTGCTGGATCGAGAGTCCGTGTGGATTCTTCTACATACTTTTGAGCTATAAGAATAATTAATAAAGTAAGTAAAATAATATCTTGTTTCTTGAAACATTCATCGTCTTTTTATCACGATTATTGCTGTTCTGCTTTGGCGTGAAATAGTGGGAATTTGTCTTAATCGTAGTGTTTGGCAGGCGGAGTGACGATCCTAGTACCAGACGTTTCCTGTTCTCCATCAACGTGCACTGTATGTGTTTTACGTGGTAGAGCCTTGCTGCAGTTATATTAGTAGAATAGTTGTAGCACAAATGGGTCAGCTCGACCGGGGAAGGACCACGCTCGCACAGAATACCAGCGTTAAATAGTAGCTTAATGCTGCTGCGTTTCGTATGGTGAGTGTAGAGACCGTTGACCCCTTTTACTGAAAACGAGGCATTTCATCTAAATCCTCACGGGTGACAACGCATTCGCATTTTGATTCGTAATCGAGGATAGAAGTAGATATCTATGGGCCTCAGCAACCACTTACCATCAGGTGGACCGTGTGCTCGTTTGTCACCCATTCCTATAAAAAAAAATTCTAGATAACAATATATGTTACCTCCATCTATTGGACGCCATATGATTTATACGGATGGAGACGATATGAGATGACATATTTTTAGGCCAAACCACAGTGCGTCACAATTCATATTTATTACAAATTTAATTTATCTATCTTCTCGGTGATACAGGTTATATAAATCCTGGCGTCAACTACAGGGGAAACGCGTCGAATCGAAGCGAGCCGCATTTATACCTAGTGCCTCCATCTCAGAAAAATCGAATCGAATTGTTCATTCATCCTAAACTCTTCATCAAATTAGGTCATTTAAAAACTCGGATTAAGAGATGTTTTTATTTCAAATACTTTTTGATGAAGAAGAGGAGAATAGAAAAAGTAAACGATATCCTACCAAAAACTGGATACACGACATTTATATGAAAAGACATAACTATGGCTAATTTCATCATTTATATCCAGGTTTGAAAAGGTATCCATCCATATGTTTAATTTTTAGTTCCGTTTACCCTATGAATATTTTCAAATTTTGCTTACTTGGATCGTGTAAAAAAAACTTTCAGAAAGAAAGATTCAGGAGGATATTTTTCGACCATTGATATTAATATTTCTTCATTCATTTTTATTTAAACAAAAAGATTTTTATGAAAGCGAAATAGAAATGAATAAAAATACTTTGGCGCGCATTTACTTCTCCGCGTCGACTGAGGTGCACCGATTTGAATCAAATCGCATCGGCGAAGAAATTCGCCTGTCAAGCAATTCGCGCGGTCGATTCAAGACGCGGCTTCATAGTAAATATATAGGAGGCGACTTTCTGCGATTCAATTCTACTCGGCTCGCCGAGCCTAGTGGACGCGGGCCTTAAGAATATTTCGGACGCAATTAATCATAATGGTGAATTTTATCTATTAACTTTTAGAGATATAAATCGCTGCAGAAAAGAAACATTAATAATTTTCCTACTAATCAAGCGATAAAAAAAATATTAACATGACATGGAGCCTACCACGCAGTGTTTACAAACAACACACACACACACACATGCGCGTGCGTGCGTGCGTGCGTGCGTGCGCGCGTTCGTGCGTGTGTGCGTGCGTGCGTGCGTGTGTGTGAAAGTATTTATGCTATGGTGTAATTTTTCTACTTATTTCAATAAATTTTCAGTTTCTTCATACTTTATCACCTTAACCACGCTGTAACTTGTTTTTTCACATTATGCTTGGTCGTTGCATATATGTTAAGTTTTTTATTAGTCTAATTATTATAGAGATGAGCAGACTGGCTTCTAAATTGTCTCCTAGCAAATTTCGTTTTCATGGGTACTACTGGTGCCACAGCATGTACTCTTGATCTATCGCAATTTTTGGGGTTATATATCAGCGTCTTGAGCAATCTTAATACATATTTAAGGATATACAGCTTCCTGACCGAAATGTGGTCACATAGGGTGTATATCTCTTTAGTAGGGAATCTGTAGGGCTTAAAGTGCATCACTTTCAATAATAATCTCTGCACTCTTTCTAGTTCCAGGAACTTCATTTTAGTGGCCCCACCCCAAACTGGGATACATATGTATTTCCTATCTTTCTTGGCATGAAGCTCAAATCCGTCTAATTTCTTTTTCAGCTCCTCGTTTTGGGCAGCGAGGTAAGCCATAGATTTTTCAATATTGTTGTTAGTTTCCTCGATGTCAGCTAGGACTGGGGTGATTTTCTTAGGTTGATTTCCTAGAGCATTCAGTTTTATCGAAATCATTGTCTTGATTTCTTCTTTGAATTCACTAAATTCACAATTCTAGTCGTGACTGCCTTTCCTTTTTACGTGCCGATTTACGAAATTTGGTGGAGTGAACTCATTCATAGGTTCAGGAATGTTGGATTCAGAGAGTGATTTATTAATAGCTCCATTTTACTATTACACAGTCTCGTAAGTGATGTTGACGAAAGCGAAAGCGCGTCGTAGCAATTAGTCGTAGTTTCGTAGCACATAGCAGAGGGCGGAACTCGTAGCGACTATCGTAGCACTGTTGTAGATATTTGCGGTGCAATGTTAGAGCGAGATCAAAAATAACAGTCTGTATTTTTCTTGCGAGAGTGATTGAGGTCAATGCGCTCGTTGATGCTTGCCGTGAGCGATACGCTTATTTAATTTCCTTTTTTTTCTTTATAGAAATTTTGTATTTAAGTACTTAGTTGGACATAGAGGAATTGCAAAAAGGCATTTTTAGAGAAACGGAGACTCTTTTAGCTGGAAATAAGGCATTCCATCTATCATCATAGTCCTCACGGGTGACAACGCATCTGCATTTCGATTCGTAATCGAGGATACAAGTAGGCGTCTATGGGCCACAGCAACCATTTACAATCAGATGGACTGTGTGCTCGTTTGTCACACTATCCTATAAAAAAGAAGCCTGTATGTTGTCTACTGCACCTATTTCCCCCATTCCTTAAGGTCTTAACCACACTAGTGAGATCCTCGTCAATGTCCAATGCGGGATTTAGGGCATCGAATAGATTCCGGAGTTCCAACTGGAAACATGATCACGCTATGCTTTGTAAGACATTTTTTCGGAGTGCAGACTTCATCAGACGGGCTCTTTCAATCTTGAAATCGATATTCACAGTGCTTTGAACAAGTCGGTGATCGCTTTCGGTATTAAACCTATTGATCACTGAGACATCTCTGAATATGTACTTTTGTCCGTCATGATGAAGTCGATCTCATTTTTCGTCACGTTGTCGGGGCTGCGTAAGGTCTACTTCACTTTTGGGGCTTTTTTGAAAATAGGAATTATTTAAATGAAGCTTCTCCTTTTCAACGAAGTTGATCAGCATTTGCACCCTGTGGTTTCTGCGTCCAAATCCGTGCGGTCCCATAATCGATTCAACACCTGTATGTTTTCCAACTTTGGCGTTAAGGTCCCCAATGATGACATTAAAGTGGATTTTAGTAGTATATTACAAAGCCTTCGCTATGTTTTCATACACAGTGAGTGTGTCAAAGTCGGGGCGGAAGCCTGTACAATCTTTACAGTATATTTTACGGTTAGTTTTAAACCAATATACGCTACCATGGCCGACACAATGGAGATTTCTAAAATGTTGTCACAGAAAACTTTATCGACGATGAAGCCCACTCCACCCTGGGAAAGAGCATGTCCCTCATGATAGTAGAGATACCGGTAAGCGAATTGTTGACCCCTATTTGATGAACTGCTAAGACATGCAGGGAGTCGATGGATGCATTTGGGCGGACAGATAACGAGCCCACTGCTTGTTACCATTACTAGCTTTCAGCTATCAAAACTTCACTGCTGAAATTATGTCTCTCCCATAAATTGCTTCATATTCTTATATTTGCCATAGTTTCCATGTTTGGTTATAGGGTTAATAACAGTAGTTATTTTTTTCATGTTTTAGTTGTGATGTGTTTAGAGATATGTAGAAGCGTCATTCTATTAGAATGACGCTGCTGCCCGTCTCCTGGTTTGTATCCCCCTATCGCCACTTACGACGCCATCAGGATGCTATGAGGTAGTTGACCTTACACCTAATAGACTTGTGAAGGGTTGTATAACACTCAAGAAAAGATTCCGTTGCTAGTTTAAATGCAATCCCTACCCATAGATTATCCGCATGGCCCCTTGTTCTTTCATATAAGAAGAATGATTTTGATACTTTGGCTTATAGAAACGATATGACCTCGATACGCAACCAAGTTATAATAGGCACGTAGTTACACTAGAGGACAGAACCGATATGAAATGTCTCGTTATGGTAATTTTGACAATCTTCCCGAACAACTTTAGAGTTGTAGTATCTGACTATTGATATCTAGCAGTACAGTATTGCTAACTCTTGATTTTCACGTCTGATTGATACGTCCAGTATTTTATTTGTTCCAGTCTTTTGTTGAAATGCCTGCCTCCGAAAGGCCTAATTCCAGGATTAGCATGTCCTCTTTCTCTCTCTCTTTAAACTTCACTCAACTCCAGAACTTGCCATCTAACATTTTTCAACTCTAATTCTATTTCTGCAATATAATTAGATTTGAAAAATAATATATCTTGCCCTTTCTCTGGAATTCTTAGCATCCACTATCCTACTGCTGCTATGACCGCCACCATGGTCAGGTACATAGGGACGGCCGGAAACTGGGGGCCGTGTCTTTTTGGTGCTTAACATTGGGAGGTTTTTCCTTAATTGCCACGCTGGAAAAGCGGGTTGGCGATTGCAGTACCAGACACTTTGCAATTGTAACCCTACTGCCCGTCACAGATCTAGATATTTTTGGCTTAACCCGAAAACTAAACGGTTATTCCGCCATCTATTGCCGTTACTCGCCTCGTACGACATCAACGGGAAGAGAGGGGGTGGCAAGATTCTAACGCCGCTGCCAAACATGCTAATAATGTGTCATATTTTCTAACGACACACATACTACGAAGTCTTTAAAAGGTTTATAAACACTACGTAATAGACCCACAGAATTTTTTAAATGTCAAAAAACAAAATCTTGAAAGTAATTATTCACGAAAGGTTTCCGAAAAGTAACGAGCAATTATATTATATAAATGAAAAAAAAAATGCCTTTATTACTTACCTCTAATTTAATGTTTGCAATATTTTATTGCAGCGATTAAATTGACAGTGATCAAAACAACACTTACATTTACAAATAATTTCACCAGTCGCTGTAACCTCAGGCACCATCTCGTACATGCAGACACAACGTTCGTTCCTGCAGTGTGTCTTGATCACAGTAGCTTCGCATTGCTGGTTAAACATACACGACTCGTTTATTCCGGCAGCTGAAATATTATTTTTAAGTATAAATTTTTTAGTATATGAACATCAGCGTAAATAGTAGCTTAATGCTGCTGTGTAACGTTTTATTTTTTACAGGATAAGGGTGATAAACGAGCACACAGTCCACCTGATGGTATGTGGTTGCTGTGGCACATAGACATCTACATCTATCTTAGATTACAAATCAAAGTACAGATGCGTTGTCACTCGCGAAGACCAAGATGGAATGCCTCGTTTCCAGTAAAATGGGTTTCCGGTTCTCTACACTCACCGTACAAAACACAGCAGTATTGAGTTGCTATTTTACTCTGATATTCTGTTAGAGCGTGTTCCAAGGTCAAACCGACTCATTCGTGCTACAATTATACTACTACTATAGCTCCAGGATGGCTCTACCACGTATAACGTGTGATAACTATAGGGAACCGGAGACACCTTTGCTGTAAATGAGGCATTCTATCCCAGCATTCGGGGGTGACAATGTATTTGGATTTTGATTTTAAATCAAGGATAAATGAACATATCTTTGGACCATATCAAAAACTTATTGTTGCAGCACGACTGGGCTCGGCAGGGGAAGAACCACGTTCTCACAGTATACCAGCGTTAAATAGCAGCATATATTACTGTATTTCATATGGTGATCGTTAATAATCATAGACGCTTTTCCCTGGAAAAGAAATAAAAATATTTTAGTCGTCAGGGCTGACAACGCATCTGCATTTCGATTCTTAATCGAGAGTGAATGTGGATGTCTGTGGGCCACAACATCTACTAAACATCAGACGGTCTATGTGCTCATTTGTCACCCTTATTTTATAAAAAAAGTCGTTCTGCCCATAAGCTTATTGATGGTTCTTAGTTGGAAATGAGCATCTCCTATAGTAGGGAAGATCTTTCATCATAGCTATGCTTTTTTGTTTGACAAATGGTAGATTTAAATGGAATTTTCAATACAGCAATACTATGTTATAGGAGGAATATATATATATATATATATATATATATATATATATATATATATATATATATATTTATGGAGGCACAACCACACGCCACCATACGGTAATGGATGATCCCCACAAAACGCCGGTATATTTATTTATTTCAAAATTATATTGTGCTAACCATGAAGGTTACAATGGGTGGACTTGGCCCATGGCGTGGTGAAAAATTAGTGGCAGGTAAATTAAATAACTAAAATATCATAAACATAATTGCATATAAAACATATTAAAATAAGAGTAATAAATCATACAATATATGAATATAATCAGAAATAGATCCATTAAATACCTTGGATGGATCATGCTGTTCAATGTTTCGCTTAACAGATTTTGGTGAAACATATACCAGTTTTTACTGCTTAACTAATTGTTCGTAAGCAAGACTGCTGATCGTGAGGTCCGGGTTCGAATCCTTCGTCTGATCAAAAATCAATTATTGAGTTTTTCTGTCAAGAAATTCTACTACTACGTTAAAATCCGCGTAACGATTTTCTCGTGATAAGGTAATAAAAAAAAACCGACAGATATCAGTCCTAAAAATTTCAAATTTGGATCATTTGCTTAATTCTGACCTAATACGCTAATTTTCGCGAAAAAAAAACAACATATAGTACGTTTCGACCGTTACAATTTATTTTATAGAACGGATTTGCGTAGTAGCTCTTCTACTGTTTTTGTGGTCCGGTATAGTTTTATCTCCTATTGGACGAAACTATATAATTTAAGTCCGGCGGATACACAGGTAACAACTTTAATTCATTTTTCATATATCACATTTATTGCGGGAAAAGTGCACTCGTTGCAACAGCTCCAACAAAACCGATAAAAGACAGCTATCGTCATCATCATCATTACAGCCCTTCACAAGTACTGCTGAACATAGGCTGCGGAACTATATCGGTCACGGTTCAAACGCAGGCAATTTCATGACAGTATATAAACGTTTTATATGTTTTGAAAAATATCGTACCTTCATTAGATGAGTGTATTTATGTATTTACCTACTTTTATAAGTATTTATTAATGTATATTCACAAACACACATAATTTATGCATATGCATATTTTATTGGTATGTTTGCGTATGTGTGTGTGTAGGTTTGTGAAGAAACATTTTGTTTGTAGCGACACAATACATAATTAAAATACAGAATTTACATTTTCCATATACAGTTCATAATATTAAATTATACAAATTTTATAAAATTATACATTTTGTTGAACGGATATTTTTTACAAAAATTGTATAGAAAGTACTTGTCAATATGTTCCTTAAAACTTCACATTTCTGATATTTATATTTTGCACAGTACAATATGAAATGTCATGAGAAAAATTAGCTAGCACTTATATTTATGAAGTAATCAAGTTGTAATCATACAAGTAGTAATTATTTTAACTGCATAGGAAAGGAACCGAAATAGAAATAATATATACAACTATTCGTATCGCGTTGCTTTTATGGTCTTAAAGGTAAGCCCGCGAACGATCGATGCACCTTTAAAGTTGCGCCTCGCGTGTCGTCTTCTACGTAATAGCGTTTTTTTCTTGTCATATAATTGTATGCACTATGCAGGTGTAATTATACAACACTCTCCTTTGTCTACAAAATAAATATATTTTTACTTATTTTGTAACCTATTTGAATATTACATTAGCTTTAGAAAATAAGAAGGTAGTACAGTTAATTCATTGTTGTAAAATTGATTACAAGGTTTTTTATGTTTTAGGAGAGGGGTGACTAACGAACACACAGTCCACCTAATGGCAAGTGGTTGCAGCGGCTCATAGACATTTACATCTATCCTCGATTACGAATCAATATGCAAATGTGTTGTCACCCGTGAGGACTAAGATGGAATACTTCCTTTCCAGTAAAAAGTGTAGAGAACCGGTTCTCTACACTCAACACACGAAACACGGCAACGTTTAGCTGCTATTTTACGCTGGTATTCTGTGAAAGCGTGGTTCCTCCCGGTCTAGCCTACCTATTTATGCTACAACTATACTACTAATATAGCTGCAGTATATCCCTTCCACATATTATCTGCTAATTTACTAATACATCGATATGTATTAGTACGTTAGCAGATACGGATTATCTTATACTAACACCATACGATTGGTGTTAGTATAAGATAATCCGTCACCCAAAATCGTCCCGAGGGTGTTGATCAAGAGGATATAACTAAAAAGATCTTATGAAGAAAATGTCAGCTATATAATTATACTCCAAGTACAACAGAAACAAATAAATTATTATCGTTATTTTAAGCGCGGCTGTTATAAATATATTTCGTAGCGTTTTCTATCTACTTCCCCTCACTGAAAGCCAGTATAATGCTATCTATGAGACATTTTATCTTAGTCGGTTTAGGCGACGTAGCAATACACAGTATTTTTTAAAACAGCATTACGTCACACTAGGGTTTTCTCCTGTATCGTGGAAGCGTTTTATATACATAAATTGAACAAAGGTAAATATTCATACTCAGGAAAAATTGTATAGGCCATACAAACACTTGTTTCATGTGCAATTGGACCCTGCGGCTAAGAAGCATCTTCCGCCATGGGATTAGCCGCTGCCTTACATAACATCTATAACAATCACCATGATGACCTTAAAGTTGATTGTAGATTATATTACCGATGGAAGCCATCAACTATAATCGAGTGGATCATTAGTTCACTTTATTTAAAACATTTCCTATAAATTTCAGTTTGTTTTAAAATCGACTATCGTAAAACTTTAAAAAAATGCTACGATATTTTTTACTACTGTAATATTTATTTATACTATGCAACTTTCGTACAGTTTCGCATTTTATTTTTTGTTGAAAAATCCGTATACCCAAAGAATCTCATAATTTATTTACAAGAGGTTCGTACTTTGTAACGTTACAGCGCTTGAGAAATTGTGCGCACAAAATGTGAAAAGAATTTTAACCACCCCTTGATTTTACACGAAATAAGAAATTCTCTTCATCTCGTTTGAAATAAAGAAAATATTCACATACTTTTTTCCTTATGAGAAAAGCTCCTAAATTCTATTAAGTTTGTGTATTATTTAAATTAGTTTTTTTAACAAAAATAACATAACTTACCGTAGGTGCTTCACCATCGTGAATATTTTAGTGATTTTTTTTCGATAGATTGCTCTTTCTATAAATCTGATGTGATGAACGAATTTATAGTCCATCTGATTATAAATGGCTATACTGCAGTCCATAGACATCTACACAAAAATTTATACGAAAAAGGTACAGTTGTATTGTATCCTTGAGAACTAAGATGGAATGCCACACAGCCTGTGATTACGAGTATCGTATATTGGCTCTCTGTATCCTTGCAACCGGAACATACCAAGGGCGGTTGGGAGGTGGTACCTACTCAGATGCAATCTTAGACAGTAAAAGAGTCGCACAACCTAGAAAATTAATAATATATTAAGTCAGACAATATAGGACTTCATAAATATTTAACGACTTGTTAGTACTAAAACAATGCGATACTACATCAATAAGAATTCAGTCCTCTGTAAGAGTTTCCTCATCAAAGAAACGTAAACCTTTCTGCTATCATGCGCAGGATGGGAATTACAGCAAAGAGATGGTGGAACAACCGCAAAAGCCTCCTAAACGCATTATAATATTTGCCTCAATGTTCACGTCTCGCACCTTAGACGCTATGGGAATTTTACCTCCCGTTGCCGATATGCGTGAACGAAATGGATCTATTTCTGATTATATTCATATATTGTCTGATTTATTACTCTTATTTTAATATGTTTTATATGCAATTATGTTTATGATATTACTGTATATTTATTCAATTTTATATGTAACATAAACTAACCAAAATTAAAACTAAACAAAAAAACTTACTGCTGCCTGACTGCCACTATCTGCATCTAGTATACTCAACTTTTATTTTAACATTAAGTCTTTTGTCGGTTTTTTCAATGTAATAACTTAAAAATTGCTTGCCACTGTGGAA